ATTGAGGCGCCACGACTGACTCTGTAGCAGAGATATATGGAGATCCATGGAGATTCATGGAGATCAAATGATGTGAAGAGTGTGTAGCAGTTGAGTCCTGGGAGTCCTGGCAGGTGAGAGGTTTTGCCTGGAGTGGCGGAGGTAGAGGTGGGACTTGAAGCAAGCATCCAAGTTTATGCTTCTCAAGGGAGAAAGATAAGGTCACATCGCTTGCATCCATGATCCACACGAGCCAGGTATTGTTCGAGTAGATGTGTCCATTGACGAAGGGAATACCTGGGTCACTGCTGATCTTTTGGACGGCAAGGACGCGGCCCGTTTTGTTTCTGAATGCTCCTGCAGAAGGGGTCACTTTTGGTCACTGTTAGTCAACATCTATCATTGTCTATCAGAACAAATGTGAAAGAAATGCTGGCGGTGAAGATATATTCACAGCATTGTACAGTCTACAACAAGCCTACAACACATATCCATTTGTGGGCTCCCAGATGGGTTTATGGTGACCGCAACCTTGGCTCAACCAGGTGTTTAGATTCACCAGCGAGCCACAGACACCTTTTTTGATTCCTCCTTTTCCGGAATTGATTCATGAATTTTCATGAAAATTGTTCGACAGCGAGGAAAGCTCTGGGGATTCAGATTTCACTCCCCACATTTTCCAAGCGCCGGTTCCCTCAGCTGATGCACTGAGAAGAGCTCCAGCTGGTCGGGTAACATGGCGACGACGTCCCTTGGAATATGGCGATTGACCTGTGGGTGATTGGAGGCATTCCACGGTTTCACGAATGTCTACAAGATAGATCCTCCATATGTCGGCAAATTTTCAGACATCCATTCTTTGAATTTAGAGAATGTGCTAATTAAACATTGGTGACAATCATTGACAATCAGTTTTGTCGAACTTTGGAATTTTCACAGAATCAGAATTTGATAAATTCCTCCGTGAATACACCGAAAGAAACGGTCTCCAAGGTGTCAAGACTTGATTTCAAGCCACTTCTGCAACGTGAAACCTTGAACCATCTTTCACCAAATTTTACCACATGTTGTTCGCCACTATCACCAGTGATGTGCATAGCTGCATATGGGAACCCTGTGCCCACGTTCTGAGAAAATCTGTGTTGTGTGTTTATTCCAAAAACGGATACAAAGAAGTACACTCTGGTAAACTAACATAACTATTGAAAATCACCATCTTCAATAGGTAAATCAGCTATAAATGGGCCATGTTCAATAGCAAACTGTTGACATAACCAGAGGGTATGGTGTTTTTTTCGAAGATCTATCGATTTGCACCTCACCAGTGTCGCATTCCTCATTGCCATCCACCAGAGAATCCATCAAAAAAAACAGATCGATCCCACCCCACCAGTCACCATCCAGTCACCATCCATAGCTGGTTGGTGGTTTCAAACATGGCTTTTATATGTTCCATCATATGTGGGATGTCATCCTTCCCACTGACGAACTCTTTCATATTTTTCCATATACCAAGGATTATCGGATTATCTAAAGATAACATATGGGATAATTTACAATGATAATCACATTGTTAATAATCCTTTCCATTGGTAATTTACAATTTACAATGATTATCATAATCCTTTCCATTGATAATATATTCTGGTTGACTAGATGGAAAAACCTACCTGATTGGTTTAACCTCTATTTTTCCATCAAGTTTTTCCATCCCATCAGGGTGACAAAAAAACAAACTGGTTGGGATGGTTAAGTCACAACCATCCCATCCATTGACTTTCATATTTTTTCAAGATTGTTAAAACCATTGACTTTCATATGTTCCCATCTTGATGGTGAAAACTAGATTTTTCATCTCCATACACCCCAGATTTTTCAAAATGGTTAAGTCACCACCATAACATGTTTTATTTTTTCCATATATTGGGAATCATCATCCCAACTGACCCATATATCTGGGTAAATTTCATCACGACCTCACTGTTCTCCCTCACTGGAAATCATGGTTGATAAGGGAAATCATCCCCAAATGGCCTTATTTCAGGTTAGTGAAATATGATAAGTTACCCAGATATATGGTTAAGTCACCAGCCCATCAGGTTCGGTGAGGGCGTCTCCGCAGAGCTGGCGCAGCGCCTGATGAAGCGCCTGGACCTTCAGGGTGAAGACGTGCGCCGCGTGCCCCGCGGGCCCCGGCCGCGCAGCCCCCGGGAAGCGGCGACGCCGGGAAGCTGGGCGAAGGGATGGGAAAAGATGGAAAAGTGGCCGAAGGATGGGAAATTTTACCCTCTGGTAAACATACAAAAAACTATGGAAAATCACCATTTTCAATGGGAAAACTCACTATAAATGGCCATTTTCAATAGCTATGTTAAATTACCAGAGGGTAAATTTTGGGATGGAAATAGGCCTTTATGAAGTGAAGAGCACCTGAAAGTTGGGAGTTTTGGAGGGAAATTCTTGTGGGAATTGTGGTGCTTTAGGCGGTTGTTTGATGGTTTATGATGTCTCATGATGTCTT